ACATGTGATGATGCTTTAACTCAAACACACTGAAGAGTTATCATGTGCCCAGCATCACACTAGACAGTGTCAGGGGTACAGGAAAAATGAAAGATACACTCCCTGATTCGGGGGGGGGGGAGACTCCGCTATACATAGCATATTGTTTAATACAAATTCAGCACTTACTTATATTATTTCACAAAATCCTGGAATCAATCTATTAGTGTTTGCTACAGTCTGAATGTTTGTGTCCCCGCCCCCCAAATTCATATGTTGAAACCTAACCTCCATGTGATGATATTAGGAGCTGGGCCCTCAGGAGGTCATTAGGTCATGGGGGCGGAGGCCTCAGAAATGGGACCAGTGCTCTTATAAGCAGCCGGAAGAGCTAGCTAGCTCCCTCGGCCCCTCCACCACGTGAGTCACAGGGAAAGTCCAGAAAGCTGGCGTCACCGACACAAATCCGTGGGAGCTCTGATCTGAGACCTCCTGGCCTCCAGAACTGCAAGAAATGGATTTTTATTGCTTATAAGCCAACCAGTCAGTGGTCTTTTGTTATAGCCACCAAAATGGACTAAAACAGTGTTCATGGAAAGCCACTCTGGGCCCTGGCCGGTTTGGCTCAACAGTTGAGGTGTCGGCCCACGGGCCAAAGAGTCGCAGGTTTGATTCCCCGTCAAGGGCATGTACCTCGATTGCAGGGTCGATCCCTGTGCAGGAAGCAACCAATCGATGTCTCTCTCTCATCCATGTTTCTCTCTCTCTGTACCTCCCTCCCTCCCACTCTATCTAAAAAGTAGAGTGAGGATTTAAAAAAGAAAATCCACTTTGGTCTTCTCCACTCTGCTGGAAGGAGGGTGGGGTTTCGCAGTTTGGTGGCAGTGGGGGACGGTGCAGGTTGACAGAAGAGGCCTAGGGACCACTGCTGAGGGGCCAAGCAGCCTGAACAAAGCCTTTAACCACAAGTTAGCTTCAATGTGACAGCACCAGGGTCCCCCTGCGGACCTCTGCAACACATTTGAGAAGATTCACTTAAGGGTACAACAAGGTGAGCACTGTGTTGGGAGAAACATCAGATGTTGAAACTACAGCTTCCTGGAAACAGGCCCCGGCCCCCGCTGAGTGATGGGCGTCCAGGGCAGTGGGCCGTGGGAAACGCAGCTCGCTCTTAGTGATGCAGGTGAGCCAGGAGGAGGCTTCCCCTGAAAGGACCAGAAACGTGGTGCGAGCCAGAGGCTGAACAGGAGATGGGAGTGGGGGCCAGGGGGGGGGGCACTGAGCCTGCTGACAGACAGACAGACTCAGAGGCAGCAGCGAAGGGAAGATGATCACGCATACGCACACGCACACTCACACGTTCGTCTGCCTCCCTGCTCTATCTCCCTGCTCAAGCAGACCGTCCCATCACCGCATAATAATGGAGCTTCGAAAGCTGGGCTGACAACAGCGAGGGTGCTCCCAGGTGGTCCTGTCAGGCTGTGAGCACGTGTCATGGTGAGACTGAATTCCTGTGTCCCCCAACAGACCGCACATGGGTGAGAGGGAGGGACTGTCTCAGGAGGCAGAATAAAGGGTCCAGAATGTGTGTCTCCGAAAAGCAAGGAGGAACCACGGAAGCTGACGGATGAAAGGTGACACATGACCACGGGCTCCACCATCTCCCATCTCCCACGGAGCAGAGAATTCTGGACTTTTTTGTTCCCTGGATCCCTTCAGCTGTCTGGAGGAGTCTATGGACTGAATGTTTTCTGAATGTTTGAAAAAGCTGGAAATAAAATACATGAGACTACAGAGGGACATCTAATAACACCAAATTGTGAAATAGTTACATGTGTGCCTCCGTCTTCATTCATTAAGTAATAGGATCTAGCAGGAGCCTTAAGTGCTGTGATTTAGAATCAGAGATGAGCGTAAATGATATTGTGAAGTCCCTGTAAAGCTGTAGTGTGCTCTGGAACTGTGACCTCCCCTGGGGACAAAGTCACTGATATTGTTAATACTCCGTGATATGTTGTTTATATTCCTACTTACAAGAAATGCTAATTTTCAGTTAGAAGTTAGTGAAAATAACGATGTAAGTTTTTCCTCTCCAAGATCATGAGCCCTTATCTATAGACCTCTTGGGGTGGGGGAAGAAGAAGGTCTATGAACCCCTGGAAAACCTCAAAATTCATTTCACAGTCACCACAAACTTCTACTTCATCTGACCATTCAGGGCCAGAGATCCGATTCCCAGGCATGGCCTGCACGTCCAAGGACATTTCCCCAGCAAGCACAACAGGAGGCAACAGCGAGGGTGCAGTCAGGAGACAGTCACTCTGCCGCCTACAGACATCCCAGTCCTCAGTGACTCTAGGAATCGAGGACCCACCTCCCCGCCCCCGTGCTGTCTCCTCAAACATCTTCAGAGAGCCTTCCCCATGTCTTCTCCCTTGTCAACATGTGCCATGTCCACCACCCCTCTGTCACCTGCCACCCCTAACACCGCCTCCTTTATTTACTTTCTTGGAAATGTCAAGTGCATTGTCTTTTCTCTGTTTACTCCATCTGGGTCACAGATGAATCAGTCTGAGCTCATGGCAGGCAAACCAACTCCGAGAGCTCAGCCCCACCACGATCATGCCTGAAGATTCAGCCCCAGGCTGCCCAATCCCTTGTCACATGTGCGGAAACCAGGTGAGGGAATGTGACCCCTGCTGGGCAGCAAAGGCCTGGAGCCCGTATGCACGCGTGAAGAAGTCGCTCGGAGGATGATCCCACACGGCTGGACACTGGGATGCCTTTATTTGTCAACAATTTCCTGTTGGGGTTCCGGGTACTGAGTGGGTGCTGGAAATAAATATACAAGTAAGCAGATATCAGAGATTGCACCCAGTTATCACAGGTGCTAGAAAAGAATTTGGAATGGATGTACGGAATAGGGTAATGGGGTGGGGGTGCTTTGTGACATGTGGCAGTAGATAAAATCCTCCCCGAGAAGGTGAAATGTAAACAGAAAGACAACTAGAGGAGAAGAAGGAGCCATCAGTGGGAAAGCCGGAGGGAGAGGGAGGGGTTGGTGTCTTTAAGAGGGATCATAAATCCGGGGAGGCTGAGACTGCCAATGAAGGAGGAACTGGCATGAGTTTGGCCGGAGAGGGAGCTGCCAGATGGAGCTAACGGAGTAGACTGGAATGCTAACAGCACAGACTCCAGAAGCAGACCAGCTTGGCTAGAATCCGGCTCGGAAACTTCTCAGGCTGTGTGACCTTGGGGAAGTCACTTACCCTCTCTGAGCCTGAGCTTCCTCATCTAAAAGTTGGGACCAACAGATATGTCCTTCAGTGAGTTGCTAAATTCATTGAGTGTAAAGCTCTTAGAACAGTGCCTGGTGCACAGTACGTGCCTGGGAAGAGTTTGCGATGCCTCGTTCCTCACAGTGAGCAGTTGTGGAAGATTTAAAGCTGGGAGAGGAAGGATCTGTTCGGCTTTAAGAGATTATTGGCCATCGTGTGGGTCGTCAATGAGACAGAGAGTTGCAAGGGATCCCAGGGCTCATTCACAACAACGCCTTCCCCAGTGGTTCTTCTGGGGAGGGGAGGGGGTAGCGCCTGAAGGACCACCACGGAGAAGGGCAGAATGGCTGTCCCTTAAGTGCACTGGGCTGGAGAGAAGGTTGAGAGGCAGCAGGCCACAACTTCTGGAGAAGGACACATCAACCACCGCTCCCCCCTTCCCCAGTAGGGAGCCCACTACTGCCATTTCCTGATGATCCCAGGTCCCACATCCTGCTGCCCAGCTGGCTTCTATTCCTGCCTGAGTCAAAGTCACTTTTCTTGGATTGTAAACGCCTCAAGGACAGCAGCCATTTCCTTCCACTCCCACTACGCAGTGACTGACACAGGCCCCATGAAACAAGGTCTCAGAGCCTTTGGATAATTGATTGAAAAGGGAAGGTGGAATCACGGCATTTTAGTGCCACTCCCGGACTCTAAGCCTTGGGAAGTCCTTAAGTCATGCCCCTGCCCAGGGCCAGTCTTCCTCAAATACTCTAGCCACACTAGACTCTTCTCCGCTGGTTCTCCAGAGGACATTTTGCTCTCCCCTGCTTGGGAATGCACCCTGGGGTTCAAGCCTATGCAGGAAGCCCCTTCCAAACCTCTTCCCAGAGCCCTTCTGCGGCACTGTTCCATGGGGATACCACTTATTTCCAGCGCAAAAGGGCTCTGGAGGCAAGTCAATGCTTAGGATAAAAGCCCTCCTGTCCCCAGGGACATCTTCAGATACCTCTTGCGGGAGGCCACAGCAAGCCCCTCTGGCTGGCTGGCTGTTAGGGCAGCTGGGAGGCGCCAGGCTCCTCAGCCCTCTCCATATTCACCAGCCTCTCCAGACCCCAGGCTCTCCTGGTCCCGCTGCCTCCTCTCCAGCCCCCCTTCCCACCCCCCACCCCCAGTACAGCAGCCCTTCCTCTCGGTTTCCTCTCCCTTTCTCAGCTACACCAGCCCATGATCCCTCCTCCCCCACCTTCTCTTCCCTTTCATTGTCCCCTTCCTCCTCCCCCCAGTTCTGCAAGCTTCCCATTCTCCACATTTCCTCTGTCTCCCCCAATCCTCACAGTCCCCTTCCCCACCTTCTTTACAGCCCCTCCCATATGCCCCTCAATGCACATTCTCCACACCCCAGCCTCCCTCTCCACTCCTCCCTGCCCTTCACGTTCCGCTCCGGTCCCCCACATTCCACTCCCAGCCCTAATTCCTACCCAAGTCCCCTTCTCCATTCCGTCCCCTCCCCTCCGCCTTGGCCCTCCTTGTCCCCATTCCTCTCCCATCCCCGAAGTCTCCCATCGCCTAATTACAGCCCCCCCCACCCCGGCTTTCGGGGGCCCCTCAGAGAGGCCCTCGACCACGTCCGCAGCCCCCCTTCACCGCCTTGCTATGTGGCACAAAGAGGACCCGCGACGGCTCCCCGCCCCACGCTCCCCCGCAGCGGCCGCGGAGACCCCACCTCTCCGGGGGAGGCCGAGGCGCCGCCCCGCTCACCTGTTGGGCGGGCCGGAGTACGCCGGGTCTTGCCTTCTCCGGGTCGGGGTCCCGGTCCCGCTGCAGCAGCCCCTTCTTGGGGTGCATGTGCCGACACAAGCAGGTGACCCCGCACAGCGCGAGGATGCTGGTGGCCGTGCCCAGCGTGGCGCCCAGCGCGATCACGGGCACCGACAGCACCATGGTGCCCGCTCCCCGAGCCGGGCTCGGTCCCGCCGCCGCGCACCTCCCAGGCCGGCCCGCCGCCCGCCAGCAGCTCCGGGCTCCGGGCTCCGGGCTCCGGGCGCGCCTGCAGCTCCTGCCGCCGAGGGGCGAGGAGGGGGGGCGGCTGCGAGGACGTCAGAGGAGGGGGCCGGACCGAGCCGGCTGTGCGCCCGCACTCAGTACCGCGTCAACACCAGCACCCTTCCCGCCAGCACGTGACCGGACCCCCCACCCCAACCGAGCCCAGCCTTTCACGTGGCAGGATCTCAGGATCGTCTGAGGCCTTTGCTCACGCTTGTGTATGAGGACACGTGTGCCCAAGAGGGGCAGCAGGTCACACTGCCGCGGGGGCAAACCGGGGCTCGAACCCGCGTCTTCGGCTCCTTCTGGGTGGGTAGGGCTCACTCTACCAGACTACTAACCCTCCGTTCACCCTCTGGCTGAGGACGCTGTGACACTGCTCCTCCAGGAGCCCTTCCAACTCAAGCACAAGACTGGAGCGTTCCCATGTCTTGAACTTGAACTCGCCAGGTGGGCGTTCGCTGCCCGGAGGGGCGGGCGGTGGGCTAGAGGGAAGGGGTTCTGTGTCGGGGTGAGGCTGCACCCAGTCCTGTGAAGATGATTCTGTTTACACCTGCATCTCCTTTAGCGACCACCTGGCAGTTCGCCTTCGTTACTAACTTGATGGGCAGGTGTTCTCGCCCCCATTTGCTGACGAGGAAGCTGAGGCTCAGGGGGGAGGCGGGGCAGCTAGAACAATCCAGTCATCCTGGACCCAAACTCAGGTTAGCAGGTTCAAGTCCACACCTCACACCTAGAGAAAGGGCTTGCCTTAGAAGGACAGAGTGTCAAATGCAGCAGCCAGGAGTCCACGCTTGACCGAGGGGGGAAATAAAAGAAGTGTGCTCAGAGGGGAAATCGAAATCCCAGGCATGAGGACTGTTCCAGAAGGCAATGCCATCACAGCAGTTTTTAATTTCCCATCAAGGTGATGACTCCCAAACGTATGATAGCTCCAGCCTGACCTTTCCTGAGTGGCCACCACTTGGTACCTCCCAGGGCTTCGGTCATCTACCCTGCCTAATAAACCACTCTCCGCTGCTTTCCTGCTCAACGTGATGTCTCCTGGGACTGTGGTCCGCTGGGCTGGAATGTCCAAGATGGTACCACATGGCAAACAGTGGTGCTGACTGCCACCGGGGGCGCCAGTGGACTGTCATCTGGGGTGCTTCGGTTCTCCCCCTGGGGCTGGAGCGTCTCCCGGTGTGGCAGACAGGCTCCACGTGGAAGGACGCAGAACTTGCCACTTCTCTTGAGGCCTGTGTTCACAAGTTCTAGAACATCACTGCTTTGGTCAAAGCAATAGTCGACTTCCAATCCTTTCCCAACAGGACATCTGAACAGGATGTTTCTAAAAAGACATCTAAAGGGATGTGGGTTAGCTAGAAAAATCCCATGTATATGAGCCTTCAGAGAGGATCCGGAGATAAACCCAAAAGCCTCCAGTTAGAGCCAAAGCCCTTTGTGATGTGGTCCCTGCCAACACTTCACACTCCCCTCTGCATACTTCCCAACATGACCTTGAGCCCCAGCCACTCCCTGGGACTGGGGTTTCATTGAGTGAGCGTCTTTGGAGCCATCGTTGGGTGCATACAGCAGGCACTCAGTAACTGCTGAGAGGGCGGATGACTCACAGCATCATGTCATACGAGACTTCCAGTGACTTGGAAGGAGTCCCATTTGCTAAATAGCTCACTTGATTAAATGGACTCTTCCAAGTATTTATTTTGTGCCTGCTGTATGCCAGGCACATTTTCCTACTGAGCTCCATTTGCTGCCAACTGTGGAGCCAAAGTGCCTTGGTCCCTGATGGTAGACTTAGCATTCTCTCTCATAAGAGCCTCCCTGGGAGGTTTTCTTGGCTCCCGGGCCTGGCATTGCAAAATCTTCTGGGGAAATTAGAGGTTTAATTAATGCTCTCAGTCCGGAGCTCCCATGCCTGAGCTGCTCCCCTGGGAGACCCCAGTGCCATGCAGCAGGATCCAGGGTAGGGGTGAGGGGAAGAATGAAGAACACTTACTGTCAGACATTGTCTGATGGGGATCAGACACCTGTCATGTGGTCCACTGTTACTATGGTTACTGGGATGACAGCAGCTGCAGTGCCCTTCATCTTTAACAGGAAGAGGGACCCTGCCCAAGAAGAACAGCTTGCCTTCTGCCTCTTACACACAGTGAGCCCATGGCAGGACTAGGGTAGACTGCAGGTGGTTTGAGGTCCAGTTAAGTCATCAGGACCTTAGGTCACCTTGGCTACATCTCATCAAAGATGCGACTTTTGCTTCCTGGTTATTGATATCCAGGTAGTAGCCTTTAGTGACAACTGTCAAAGAAAAGGTATTAGGGTGTTCCTTTGAAAAACAAGATTGTCTTTATTGAGAAAGGTGGTAGGCAGAGTCATTGGAGGAGAACAGTTGGGACAGTCTAAGGATGAGGCCTGAGAGTAATTGGAAATGCTGGGGCTGCCAGACTGCCAGGGGCAGACAGCAGAACGCTTAGGGGAACTTCTGGAAGGCTGAAGATCTCTGAAGGTTCCCTGGACTCTTGACAAAATGTCACCATTGTTATTTTGATCGATATTTTACTTATTGGGTGATTAAATAATCTGAGTAACCACTCTGAATTTCTAAGAGATTAAAATGCTTTTATCTGAGAAAACTGTTTCAAATAAGCAAGGTTCTCTTATTTAGTAAATATTTATAGTATCTGCATATCATGCTAAGCAAGAAGAAGGAAAATACACAAGCAGAACTGAATTTTAACAGTGGGAGGATTTCAGAGATCACTTTGTGGGAACGTGGCTTGCCAAAGGGTAGAAGGAGGAGTAAAATGATAGAGCTGGGAAGGTCTTGTAGGTCAGGGTAGATTATGTTTTGCTGCAGCAACAACCTCAAAATCTCAGGGATTGACTCAATAAAAGAATATCTTGCTTCTATCATAGTTTAAGGAAGGTCAGGTGACTCATGTGGCATCTTATCTCCAAGCAGTGACTCGGGAATCTGGGCTTTTGCTGTTCTGCATCCCCTCTGCTTCCTACCATGCAAATGGAGAAGAGAGAGCACATTGACGACAACTTGTGACATTTCAGAGGCCGTGGCTGGAAACAGAGCACATCGTTTTCACCCCATGGCATTGGTCAGAAGTTGGTAACAAAACAAATCTAGCAACAAAAGAGACTGAAAAATGTAGAGGAGAAATATGAGCAAAAGCAGTGTCTGCCATAGAAGCCAAAGATTAGGCCTTCTTGTCTAGTGCATGTTGCTTTAATTCATTAATTCAACACATTTTTTGAGTTTCTACCAAGTACGAAGCACTGTGCTGAATGATGCAGCAAAGAAAGTAAGCAAAACCAGGCATAATCCCTCAATTGACATTCCTATGGAGCAGATGGACAACACTCGTTTGTCACACTAATACATGTGAAATTACAACTGGGATTGATACAAGCCAAGAAGAACAGGTTTGGGGTTGGGGTTTGACTTGTTCTGACACCAAAGAAGGCTTCCCAGAGGAGGTAGCAATTGGATTGAGGTCTAAAAGAGTAACGATAACTCAGCAAAAAAGAAAAAAAGAGTGTTCCAGGCCAAGAAACAGTATGTGCAAGGACCCTGTGGTGGAACCGCACAGTGGGCATGGACAGCAGTGTGCTGGTCCAGCAGCTCACTGCAGGAAGTGGGGGTGGGGGAGGATTGAGTTTTAGCATTTGTTGATTTCTCTGGTGTAAATAAATTGACACCACAGTCAATTTCCAGCTACCAACAAATTCCTGAATATTCACCAATTGGTTGTGTGAGCTGGTAGGAGCCAGATTCAGCACACAAGAGGGAGAAACTGTGTGAGATGAGCCTGAAGGAAAAATGTTTGTGAAGTGTTTCCTACATGTTAGGCAGGGCTTTGAGCATTTTGTCTGTGCTATTGTGTTTAATAAAATGTTAAAAAGATGGGACAGCCCTGGCCGGTTGCTCAGTGGTTAGAGTGTCAGCCCGGGGACCAGAGAGTCCTGGGTTAGGTTTCCTCTAAGGGCACATGCCTCAGTTGCAGTTTATCCTCAGCCCCAGTTGGGGTCGTGTGGGTGGCAACCCCTCGATATGTCTCTCTCACGTCGATGTTTCTCTCTCTCTCCCCCTCCCTCTCTCCCTCCGGCTCTATCTGAAGATAAATGCAAAAATGTCCTCGGATGAGGATAAAAAAAAAAAAGATGGGACAGAGATCTAATCAGCAAGAGGTGGGAAAATAATGACAACTATGATTTAGATTAAAAGCAAGTTCTGGCCTGTCCGGTGTGGCTCAGTGGTTGCCAGTTTGATTCCTGGTCAGGGCACATGCCCAGGTTGTGGGCCCGATCCCTAGTGGGGAGCATGCAGGAGGCAGCCAGTCAATGTTTTCGTTCATCAGTGTTTCTATCTCTCTCTCCCTCTCCCTTCTTCTCTCTCTCAAATCAATTAAATAAATAAATAAGAAAATTCTTACCCTGGCCGGTTTGGCTCAGCGATTAGAGCATTGGCCCCCCAAAAATTGTCAGTTCGATTCCAGTCAAGGGCATGTATCTCGGTTGCAGTTTGTCCTGGGTCCATGTGGGCGGCAACCAGTCAATGTGTCCCTCTCACGTTGATGTTTCTCTGTTTCTCTCTCTCCCTCTTCCTCTCTCTCCCTCCCTCCCCCTCTATCTGAAGATAAATAGAAAAATGTCCTTGAGTGAGGATTTTTTAAAAAAGTTCTCAAGGTGTGTGTGTCATTTTAAACGTTTTACTGAAGTCTAGCATACAAGTTAAAAGTGCACAGATCATAACTAGAGCTATCAGATGTTCATATAGTGAATATACCTGTCCATCCAGCACCCAGATCAAGAAACAGAATAATACTCACACCCCAGAAATTCTCTATGCATTGTTTTCTAGGAGTTCCCATTTTAACCAGAATTTTTACGAGGGCTGAGTAACCCTGGTTCCCATAGTGTCAGAC